CTTTTTAGGTGACCACTTGCATTTACTGCTTATTTGTATTGTATTGTTTCTAGACGCTAAACACTTCCAAAAGTTTAAGTCGCCAAAAACGTTTTACTCGCTTACTCTGTGGCCGTACACTAACGGGCTGGACGGAGTGTCTTTTACATCTCATGGTCCATCAACAAATGTTTTCTGGAGCTGACGAATAGGCAAATCGTATCTGGCAATATCAACTTCGTACTCTTGAATAGTCTCGTCTCGTTTCTGTTTGCGATTCTTTAACTGTAATTGATACCAATGCTCCAAATGTTTGTGGTATATCGCGTGTGTAATCTCTTTTTAAGTTGTTCCGTCTCTTCCACAAGTGTAGACTGAAAATTATCTAAATCATCTTCTCGAAGAACGATGGTCAGATTTACTGCTTTTTACTTTCAGACATTTGGTCCATGATCTACGTAGAAAATTGCGATTTTAACACGAGTAGAGCTTACAGTTCCTTCCAATTTCAACTTTGACTCCACCTCAAGGGACTTTATTTTATTTTTCTTGGTGTCTTCTATATGTTCTATAACTTTCCTTTCTATTTTATCCATTTCGTCTATTTTTTTTTCGATCTCTTTTATTTTATTCTCGACGGAAAACATTATTTTCTCCTCAACAGAGAACATTTTATTTTCCATAATTGCAGACATTTCACTTCATACAGAAGACATTTCAGAAGACACGTTTTCTTCTAAAGAAGATATATCAGAAGAAACTTTATTTTCTAAGGAAGAAATATAATTTTTTATAAAAGAAACAGAAAAAAATTCAATTTTTTAAAGAAGAGATCTTACTTTCTATATCAGAAAAAATTTCGTTTTTCATTAAAGTCATATCAGAAGAAATTATAGAACACGCATCATCCGAATATAGATACGTTTCCGGGTCCAAACCCTCAGTTTTTATTGCCTCTCTAAGCCACTCTGCCAGCTCTGCATTCTTTCATGTCGTCTCCAGAAGTTCTTCTAATTCCTGACACAACTCAGCACCTTTTAAATCACACAGTTTTTTTATCAACTTATATCCACTATTTATTACAGTATCTCAACCTCTGTATTGACACGAATGCAACGTTTATTCATTTGAAACAGTTCATTAATTTAATTTATATTCACTAAAAACACTTATTTACTATATTAATTTATTTTTACATCACTGAGTATATCTTACTTATGCTAATTTATATTAACAATCTACACAATGAATATCTAACTTAAACTGAAACCCAAACGATAAAATTCGGCTATTTATAAACAAATTCAGCATGCTTGACCTGTTTCTCGACAATACCAGATGGTTTAGAATAAACTAAACCATAATCGGCAGTCATTTTCGGAATTTTCTACAGAACGATTCTATCGATCGGCAACGACGTAAACATAAAGCAGGACCGGACTGGTTGAAAATGGCTCGCACGACATAATATTAAAAATTAAATGCACTTATCAGGTTTTCAGATTCTTTAACAATGAACAGAGGACATTTTACTCACTTTCACTGCAGATTTAAAATAACAGCTCCCTTCTAGGTGGTTAACTAGTATTCGATATTTCTTGACTGCATTCGACACAGTGGAAAAAACAGAAATATGGAGAGGCCTGGAGGAAATGGAAGTGCCCAACACATGAATAAACTCAAGAAGAAGCACCTACTAGACAGTGAGAGCAAAATTATTATTATTATTATTATTAATATTATTTTATAAACCTTAGAAGCACGTTTCACATACATGAACAAATAATAATAACTCCGTGACAACAATAAGACGAAGCAATACTTTCTTGTATGGTGGCGGCTTCTCCACTACCAGAAAATTTCAACCCATACCTGGCTACGCCGAGCGGCATAAACACCAACGGCCTGGACACAGATCCAATCACGCTTTCCGGCCGTGCTCCGACTAGCCACTTTAGAAATAAAGGACATGAAAACGGAAGCGAATATAAATTAAACAAAACTGATGACAGTAAATGAATGGCAAAATTAAAGGGGGAATAAAACAAGAACACAATACTAACAAGAGTAACAAACTATGAATATTTGTAAAGTTTACTGACAGAAGATAAGAAAATTGAAACAGAAATAACAAACAGAGTAAACAAATCAATCAAAATATGCTATTTATTAAACAAAATAATACTGAGACATTATAATATACAAACGAAGTTAAAAATGAAAAACCACAATATAATAACAATAATTAATCTATGTCTGCCAAAACTGGGTAATTCGCAGAAAAGGTTATATTAAAATTTATTGCTATGGAAATGATATACTTAAGAAAAATCACTGAAAAGAGCAAATTACGTTCATAGCCAAAGTTTGGCTACATCATAGGTATAGAAGTACAAATAAATAACATTCTTACTACATTTCGTCGATTATTTATGGAATAATTAAAAATGAACCTAAATTTTAAACTGCCATATATTTTTTGCACGTATGTCATCGCGGGTTTTGGAGTTGGATAGCACTTTTCTTCGTCTGTTAGCAACCAAGCCTTGATTTCGCCGATACCGATATTGTACAGGGAATTTTACAAAATGTGCACCCATGTAAATCAAAATTAAGGTTTCTCAGAAATAGTTTTTGTAGTGCTTTTTTGCCATAAGGACTTTTAATTATCAAAGATGGTAAAGCTATAGTTGATGTAAGTAATTTATACAAGGTGATTTAAAAGTACTCTAGCTTAAATTCAAAGATTTTTTATAATTTGCTTTATTGGATCATTGGGGTACTAGCGTCATATAAACTTATTATAGTTATTATAACTAATGAGTTACATACCTAAATAAATAAATCGTTTTCTCCTGATAAGGAGTCGTCATCATCAGTTTCCTCACTTCCCACAGAAATAATAATTGGTTCTATTGTTTCCTCTATTAACATATCAAGTTGCCAGAATTTATTGTCCTCTGCTATGACATATTTTATAGCGTTTTGCTAATTGTCCGGTGAAATTTTTGATATGGAGTCACATAATAGTTGACGAACATCTTGCAATTTAAATGTTATATTATTTCTCGCGACATATCTCTTCATTTTAGCCCAAATTAGTTTAATGGGGTTAAGTTCACGGTGATAAGGTAGTAACTGCAACACTTTAACTCCATGTTCTTTTGCTATTTCATCTACACTTTACCTATTAAATTTTGGTGATTGTTGTTTACTTAACTGCAATATCTCTCTTCTGCCTCTATTTTTGGTTATAAGCCAATCGGAGAGTTCTTGCTTTTTCCATTTAGTATTAGGTAACGGTTCCTTTAATCTTGAATGGTAACTGGAATTGTCCATAACTATTATAGAATTGGTCGGTAATAAATCTATCATTTGATTAAAATTTCCTCAAAAACATCAGCAGTCATTTCTTCATGGTAATATTTTGTTGAATTTGACACAAATTCTAACAAGCCTATATCAACAAATACTTTACCTCCTTCAATATGAGTGATAATTAAACGCCGACCTTTGCCATGTGGACATTTTAAGCTAGTAGACAAACCTTTTATAACTGCCTGACGAGCATTTATAACCTGTTTAGCTTACCAAACTTTCTTTACAAAATGTCCTTCATTTATCCATGTTTCCCCCAAATAAAAATATTTTTGTCTTCTCTTCTTAATTTTCTAATTTCTCTTAAATATTGGCTACTTCAACAAATAATTCCATCTTTCTCTATGAGCGCAGAATTTCAATCGTTCTTCTTCCAAACGTAGTCTAATTCATGTAAAGTTTTCCACAATTTGTCTCTTCTAACGTTCGGGAAAGTTTCGTCTCTATTAATGTCTATTAAAAGTCTATTTAAATGAGTTTCTTCCCAGTTGACATTTTAGGTGCTACTGTAATACTTCCATCCTTTGGTTGCTTTAAAAGTCTATTAATGGTTGCTTCTCCAACTCCGGTCATATGTGAACACTTAGAAACTATACTCCGAACAGTACTATTGAAATTTTTATGTATAAGATCGTCATGTACATTTAATACTATAGTTTTCATATGCACGGTTAAATTGCATTTTATATTCACAGGAGTATAATTAGACGTTTGTGCCATTTTTATTGCACAAATTCAGTTTATCAATATCGCTTTTTAATGCCTATTATTACAGTACTTACAATTCTGCGTGTTGCAATCAAACAGAAATGTAAATCTTAACTAAAATAATTTACAAAAATGCTTAACATTTTATTTTAGAAATTCTCCTTCACTGATTTATCATATTATATTGGGGTTTATCTCTTAGGCCATAAAAATTTTTCTATCATAAAAGTGCATTGTGCATACCGTTCGCCAGATCTTTTATACACTTTTACTCGGTCTATCATTACTTTAGAGGCAAAGCCGGGATTAGTCGCTAAATAAAACGTTAGACCCTTCCTTTAACCCTACGGCAGATGCTCCCGAGCAAACTAGAATCTTTGAATCCTGTGGTGCCTCTTTAACTTTGATCCAATCGCTGTTCGTAGGGTTGTAGCTGGGCTTCTTTTAATCGCTTAAGGTCTATTTGTTTGAACACATTAACATTATTCACATTGGACAACTGCGCCTGCAACTTTGTTGTACTTGTAAACAGTGGCGTAGTGATACAGTTGGGGGCCTGGGGCGGCTCTAGCCGAGGGGTCTATATATATTTAATGAGAAAAAATAAATACACAAACTTACCAGAACAATAAAAAGTATAAACAAATTAAAAAAAAATTTTGACGATCCTTGGAGTTCTGAAAATTGTTAGATTAAGTCATCAAAACTCAGATGCTTAGCAATCTCATTTTCAATGGATAATGTAGCCAAGCTTGTCAAACAAGACTGGCTCATTGTAGAACGGAGATAGTTTTTAATTATAGTTCTGAAAAACTTCTCTCACAAGAAGCCACAGACACATAAATAGTAAGAAATAGTTTAAGTCCCTTAGTTATGTTTGGTAACGATTAACAAAAGTCCATTTCAATAACAAACTTCAACATTTGCAATGACGTTCATGAAGCTGCATCATCAATTTTTATTCCAGAAGCCTTCAGATGTCTTTTTAGCCTCTTCACTTCTGGTAACATTTCTTCTTCCTCTAAATCATCAAAAGTATTTGTGAACTGATGTATATAAGTCTTCATTACTTGCATTTTTTCTGAGTGTACAACAGCAAATTGTTGATATTCATTGTTCATTGATGTTAGTCTCTTTTCTAACTCTACAATGCAATCTAACATAGCACGCTTCACTTCTTGCTGTGGAATCAAACCTGCATCTTTAGGTTTTCTCCTGACATATTTTAAACTAGTTTTGCGATTTCTGCTTTCTATATCAATTACCAATTTAGCACAAGTTGTGGCTGTATATTCTAAGGCTTTTGAGACCAGTTCTTCTCGACTCTCTTTTAAAAACATTTTTAAGCTTCTCAACTTCAATACACATTTTTCCAAACTAATACTTTCGATTTGGAGGTATTTTTGCACATGGTTTACTTTAGATAAAATGTGGTACCATAACCACAAAGCACAAATAGATCCAATGGACATCCATTCGATATACAATGTTGGATGTCTGGACGTCCAAAGATGAGTTTTTTCTGGACTTCCGACGTCCAATGGACGTCCAGTGAAGTATACAAATGACACACTTTTGACCGTTCATAGGACGTCCAATTCTGGATTATATTTGGACGTTCAATACTGGACATTCAGAAAACGTCCATTCCTGGATTATACCACTGAGACCACGTCCCTACTTTTTTTTACGCAACCGCAACTCATCACACACTATTTTATATTAATAATTTATTTATTATTTTCGCAACCCGCTATACACCATTTATTTATTTATTTATTTTTTTTTTAATTACTTGACCAGAGCAGGTATCGAACTCACTACAGGTCCATTGTCTTTCTGGACATTCAAGTGCTAGGCGACCTCGACCACAGAGCCTCTTGAAAAATTCTTACTAGATACGGTATTAATAGAATAAGATTTCAAACTTCCGCTGATAGAATGAAATGTAATAGATTCAATTTGTCAATTTTTAATGATCAATTCTATAAAAAAAGGAAGTGTATGTAAATGGGTATTATCTGGTAGGTTAAATAAATAATAACCTAAGATGGACGTCCACTGGACGTCAAAATAATACTAAACTTAAAATTAAGTCCAAAAACAGACGTCCTATGGACATCGAAATGCAGCTATCAAATTAATGATCGTAAATGGACGTACACTGGATATCCGAATACGAATGGACGTTCTGGCCCTCAAATGGATCTAAAATGGACGTCCATTAGACTATGTGTGCTGTCTGGGAAGTAAAAAAAACAAAGAAAATTAAAATGACAAATGTTTGTTTTCAATACCTCCGCTACCCCCTCGTATCTAGATTCTCAGGAGCATCACACAACTTGTCTAGAGCATTTACCAATTTTTCGAAATTTTTAAATATTGTTTTAACTGCATCATGATGAGCACTCCACTTAGTATCACTAAGGAGATTAAAACCCAGAAATGATAACAGCGATTTCCTTTCATGAGAATAAATTATCCATTTCCTTAAAATCTTTTCTCAACTAGGAAGTTGTTTATAAAACCAATTTGTTGTTAACTGCCAAGTTTGGCTTTTTGGGTTTACTCCTTCTGAACTGACTCAAAAGGTCCATCCAAATTTTGATAATTTGCACTACCTCGTCTAATAATGTCGGTTCTAAGTCCATCTGGGGCTGGAATGGGCCAATCCCCAACATCTAAATTTAATAATATATACTCCGATTCATCCGCTTCAAAGTATATCAAAGAAGTTTTGTTTTCTTCCCCATCTCTTTCTTCTTCTCCCTTCTCTTCATCCTTTTCTTTTTCTATTTCTATATCGTTTTCTTCTTTTTTTTTCTTCTTGTTCTTGAATGCTTATGTCTTTAACTAGTTGATAACAGCTTATATTTGGACTTTCAATAGATGTTGGACCTCTGGTTGCTTTACTTCATTGATCGCTTGGGATGACGCCCTTTAAGTAAATTTCAACAGTGAACCCGACAAAGGCTGTATTTCTTATTCCTTAGTTTTTTTGTCTTTTCTTCTTTTCCCATCCACTGGGATAGTTTCGTTTCATGTTATCCCAGGTTGCTTGAGTGAAAAAATATTAATAACATTTAAAAATGCTTATCTAGAAGTTCGGCATATAATATTTGATAAATGCCGTTTTAGATTAATATAGTTTCAAATTGCAAATATTTAACTGCTCTATACCGGGTGTCCCAGATTTTTTGCCCAGCGGATATCTCGGTTATTTAATGATATAAAATTGTAAAAAAAAATATGAATAATATTTGTCTAGTAGCCTTTTAAATTCCACTACATAAAGTTATATTCATCAATCCACCCATAGGAACAACCCCTAACTTTTTTTTTTCAAATGTCACCCCTATATTTTTTTTCGCTGATATAAATACTCAATTTGTCCCGAATACAACGATATGATTTTTGATATACTTTACAGAGTCATAAAGCCGGTAAAGACTAAAAACCAATGTTGTGGTTAAAGTCATTAATAATTAGTTTACATTTTATCATTTTATTATATTAAAAAATAACAAATCCAATGAATAGGTAAACCTCTTAATATGTTTTTTAAATAATTGAATATTTACAAAAATTGTTCGAAATGGCCCCCATTACTTGCCAAACATGCTTCAAAACGTCGAATGAGTTCACGAGTACATGACGCTGTAATCATTTCTGGTGTAATGTTATTGCAGGCTTGTACTATTTTATTTTGCAAATCTTCTAAATTCAATGGCTGTGTTTCAAATACCACGGTCTTCAGATATCCCCATAAAAAAAAATCTAGAGGCGATAAATCTGGTGAACGCGCAGGCCACCTCAAAGGGCCGCTGTTTCCGATCCACTGATTTTCAAAGCGTTCGTTTAAAAATTGGGTAACTAAATTACTATTATGTGGAGGAGCTCCATCTTGTTGCCACCACATAGCACCTCTTTCTTGTATTGGAATTTCTTCAAGAAGTTCTGGAAGGTCATTTTCAAGAAAGTGTAAGTACCTAGCACCAGTTAACGTACCTTGAAAAAAATAGGGACCTATCAGTCGTCCCTGAAATAATCCACACCACACATTTACTCCCCAGATGGTCTGAAAGTTAGTTTCCCTAACCCAGTGAGGGTTTTCAGGAGACCAATAATGCATATTGTGACGATTTACAGTAGCATTATTGTGAAACCTTGATTCGTCACTCCACAATATCTGGTTCAAAATGTTGGGATTTCGTTCCATTAAATCTTCAAAATGTGCTATTAATGTTATCCTTCTTTCGAAATCTCCAGCTCTAAGTTCCTGATGCAAATGAATTTTAAACGGATGAAAATTATAGGATTTTAGGATTCTTTGTACTGACGACTTACTAATATGAACCTCGTTAGCTAGGTTTCGCGTCGATATCTGGGGATGTACTTGCACATAAGCTAATACATTAATGCACATTTCTTCAGTTCTTACAGCAGCAGCATGTTGACGATGTTTGTCTTTTCCTGGAAATGACCCTTCTCTCATCCTAGTCTCAACATAAGAATATGTTTTACGTGATGGTTGTCGGCGCTCAGGAAACCTCTGTTGATACAAGTGTACAGCAGCACGAGAATTTTTTTGGCACTCACCAAAAATTAAAAGCATATCAACATATTCGTTTGGAGTGAATGTAAAGGGCATTTTGTCTGTTGTTTATAGCTAGCGAACAATTTCAGAAATGGTCTAAGCATATCGTTAGTTAGTTATAGGTAACAAAAAAAAAAACAAAAACGAAGCAATTCTAATCAAAATAAAAAGAAAATACCAGGTGATACAAAATTAATGACTTTAACCACAACATTGGTTTTTAGTCTTTACCGGCTTTATGACTCTGTAAAGTATATCAAATATCATATCGTTGCATTCGGGACAAATTGAGTATTTATATCAGCGAAAAAAAATATAGGGGTGACATTTGAAAAAAAAAAGTTAGGGGTTGTTCCTATGGGGTGGATTGATGAATATAACTTTATGTAGTGGAATTTAAAAGGCTACTAGACAAATATTATTCATATTTTTTTTTACAATTTTATATCATTAAATAACCGAGATATCCGCTGGGCAAAAAAATCTGGGACACCCGGTATATTACTTAGCACATTGTAGAAGGAACAGTCAGACATGAACCACCAACAAAGAAAAACACGCAAATCAAATGTGAACAAGATTCTCCCCTGAACTGCAAACTGAAATAGCTGGTACTGTTGGTGTTTGCGGTAAACTGTCATTATCATAATACGCATACGTATAGAAGTTTAATTCGTAAAAAATTATACAAATAGATAATATTTTCACGATTAAAAGTATTTTAATAAATAAAACAAATATAGTTGTCGAACATTCTGGGGCCTTTTTTTGTTATTTAGAAAATAAAATTTTTCATATTTGGGGGCATATGCCGACGCGGGGCCTGGGGCGGGCCGCCCCCGCCGCCCTCCTACGCTACGCCACTGCTTGTAAATCGTTCTCTGAGATAGTGCAGAGTTAGGAAACGATCTTGGTTGAGAGTAGTTTTCCTAGGCCAGCCCTTACCTGCTCTTCTTTCACGATATCTTCTTAAAATTTTGGAAATAACCCTTCGAGTTTTTCCCATAATTTTTCCAATATCTCTTTGTAAACAACTATGTTCAAAAAGTTATCTAGCGTAAGCGCTGTCTTTTGGGATAATAAAGCGGTTATTATTATAATTTTAAAACCGTAGGCATATGATAAGCAATAAGTATGTATGTACTTAACAGAAAACTAAAATGGCTGTACTGTCACTGTCAGTAATATACGTCAAAGTAAAAAAACAGTAACCATCTCAGCCAACTTAACTTTAAAAAAAGAAAGGTGCAGTTTTTGTTTGATGTACGTTATGACATGTTGTATATTATTGATATATGGCGAGGTTATGGCTTAACGGGGTTTGGAGATTGGTATCTTTTTTCTTTGTTTTTTTTTCCCTAATGACCCAATAAAGCAAATTATAAAATCTTCGAATTTAAGCTGAAGTGCTTTTAAATCACTTGGTATAAATAACGTACATCAGCTATAACTTTATCATTCTTGATAATTAAAAGTCCTTATGGCAAAAAAGCACTAAAAATAAGAGAACACTCTTGCTTTTGATTAAAGAACGTTTTTTGAAAAAGTTTATTTTTTATTTATCACGCACAACATTGATACAGGAGGTACTCAAAGGAAAGCTGTAACAAGGTCAAAAGAAATTTAAATTTTAACACTTTCGCATTTCCCAAATCTCAAATTAATATTTTGTCAATTTTACATGGGTGCACACTTTGTAAAAGTCCCTGTACATTATTGAAATATGGAGAAATCAAGGCTTGG